CTCGTGACCTACCTGTTCAAATTCAAGATTAAAGCCCACGGGGCCCACTGCCTCAGCATTTGAAGAAGGTGACTTGCTCTCAAGACGTCAAAGCTTCGACAACAGATTCTTCGGTCAACACCCCTAAGTGACAAACTCGCTCAAATTGGAGCCTCTTTCATCAGCTCGCAAAAATCAGGTTCATTTTAATTTATTTATTTATTTATCTATTTTTTTGTGTATTTGTCAAAATATCAACCTTATACAAATTTAAATTGAATTTAGTTTTAGTTCTCTACCGAATGGCTAGTAAACTCGTTCTATCATAACTAGAGAAAATTGACAAATTCAATGGCAGTAATTATGATATGTGGCATAGAAAAATAGGGTATGCTCTTATTCATGACAATATTGATGATATAATCGAAACCACTGCTCCAACCCTTACTGATAAATCTACACTTGAAGAAAAAAAAGGGTTTGAACAGTGGAAGTCGAAAGACAAAAAGGCGAAAAGTCTTATGCTCATGTTCATGGAAGATAATTTAATCAAAGTTTTTGAAACTTATAAAACTTCCATGGACATGTGGAATGCAATAAAAGAAAAATACGACACTGCTTCTGAAGTTAACATTCAACTCCTCTTGCATAAGTATAATTCTTGTCGTATGCAAGAGGGAGACAATGTCGTAGAGCATATAAATAAAATGATTGTCATGGCTAAGGACTTATCCACTGCTGGGACCGAAATCCCGGAAAGAATACAAGTGGCAACCATTTTGAATAGTCTTCCCCCTTCACTTGCTGTGATTGCCACCACATTAAGAATGAATCCTGCCATTAAGTCTGTCACTGATCTTCCTATGCACCTAATGATAGAACATGACTTAATAGCCAGTAGAAAGGAACCAGAACTGAGTATGGTGCAGCAAGAGCTGAATTATGCCCGCCAGAGGCATAATGCTGGAAGCTATAAAAACCCTGGTTCTAGTAAACCACAACCACGAGGACCGAAATCACAGCAGTTCATGAGAAAGAAAGTACCCCGCGGAGCCTGCTACAATTGTGGAAAGTTCGGGCATTTCAAACCCAATTGCCCACAAGGTGAAAAGCAGGAGAATAATGGAGGCTATAAGCATCTAGAACAAGGGGGTACTAGCAAAAGAGAATTCGTCGATGTGACGGAATATAATGCTGTGATGACGGATATCAGTGGTTGGTGGATCGACTCTGGTGCGACTAGGCATATCGCAAAGGACAAGAATGGAGTCGTAGAATTTACCGAGCTAAAGAAAGGAGAACAGAGAATCTATATGGGAAATAATACCTATCTCGATGTAGAAGGTATTGGTTCGTATAGATTGGATCTTGGGGACAGCATTCTTGTCCTCAAAGATGTGTTCTATGCGCCAGGAATTAGACGCAATCTGATCTCTGTTCCCAGCTTGATGAAGAAAGGACTGGAAGTGAGGTTCTATAATAACAGGGTTTCTATAGGCAAGAATAATAAAGTGTATGCTATGGATAAATATGTACCCGAGCATGAATTATGCATTCTTCCAGTAGTTTGTAATAATTCTGATAACAAAATTTCGAATTTGAACTACTTGTCTTGTTATATTTCTGAATCTAAATTGTGGTATTCTAGACTAGGACATGCTAGTATTTCAAAAATGAAAGAAATTATCAGAATGAACTTGCTTCCTGCACTATCTAATGTTCAATTGCCACCATGTGAACATTGTTTAACTGGTAAAATAATTAGAAAACCTTTTATTGGCGGACATAGAGCCAATGAACTTTTAGGGTTGATACACTCGGATATTTGTGGTCCCCTAAGTATCAAAACTCATAGTAATAAAGAATATTTTATTACTTTTATAGATGATTATTCCAAGTTTGCACACGTCTATCTTATATTCAGAAAATTAGAAGCTTTTGACTGCTTTAAGAGATATAAGACAGAAGTTGAAAACCAACTTGGATTGAAAATCAAAATTCTGAGAACTGATAGAGGTAGAGAATATAATTCTAAAGAATTTGAAAGTTATTGTATTCAGCATGGAATTAAAAGGCATACGATAATGCCGTATACACCACAACAGAATGGTGTTGCTGAAAGAAAGAACAGAACATTATTAAATATAGTTAGATGTATGTTGTCTTATTCTGGTCTCTCTAAAAACTTTTGGGGAGAAGCATTGTTAACTACAAACTACATTTTAAATAGAATTCCCACCAAATCAGTTGTATCTACACCTTATGAATTATGGAATGGGAGGAAACCTAATTTGAGTCATTTCAGGAAGTGGAGATCTATAGCCCATGTTCTCATTCCATGTCAACTTAGAGATAAGTTGGATTTTAAAACAATAAAGTGTAGATTCATAGGGTATTCAGAAAAGTCAAAAGGTTATAAGTTCTACAATAAAGAAAAAGGAGTCATTGAAAGCAGAGATGCTACATTTCTAGAGAATCTAGAGGAAGAGGAACAAGTTCAAGAGGAAACAGAACCTCTAACTGTAATAGATGATGATTATTACAGTGTTGTTCCCACTAATGACCCTGATATTGTGAATGAACCTAACCTTGAAAATGATGAAATACCTATGGAAAATAATGTACCTAATCAACCAGTTGTAGGTAACAAAAGGCCAAGAACACAACCTTCATGGATGGATGATTACTATTTGTATTCATGTGAGTCATCCTGTTTTTCGGGAGATACAAATATAAAAGAACAAGATCCCTTAACTTTTTCTGATGCGATGAAATCGCATGAATCAGCTTCATGGCTAGAATCTATGAGAGAAGAACTTGATTCCATAGAAAAGAATAAGGTATGGGAGTTATGTGATCTACCAGAAAATAGAAAAGCCATAGGATGCAAATGGGTGCTCAAAAAGAAATATCGTGTTGATGGATCTATTGATAAATTCAAAGCACGGTTAGTTGCCAAAGGTTATAACCAGAAGGCAGGAATAGATTTTCAGGAGACGTATTCTCCTGTAGCTAAATTTGCATCCATTAGAATTATTTTAGCTATTGTTGCATATCTTGATTTGGAGTTATTCCAAATGGATGTTAAAACTGCATTCCTTAACGGAGAGTTGAAGGAAGCAATATATATGCAACAACCTGAAGGTTTTCAGGTAAAAGAACATGAACATAAAGTTTACAAATTAATAAAATCTCTATATGGTTTAAAATAGTCTTCTAGACAATGATATCTCAAATTTCATGATGCAGTTACTAAACTTGGTTTTATTCAAAATAAATTAGATAATTGTGTATATGTCTTGAAAAGTGGGAGCAAGTTTACTATATTATCCTTATATGTGGATGATATATTGCTCGCTGGAAATGACATAGAAATGTTGAATAAAACCAAGACAGATCTCAGCAAAAAGTTTGAGATGAAAGACATGGGAGATGCATCATATATTCTTGGAATTCAAATAATTCGAGATAGAGAGTCTAGAATGCTAAGTTTAAACCAAGAAAAATATTTAAGATCAGTTCTTAAAAGGTTTGGAATGGAGAATTCCAATCCGGCACCAACTCCGTTGGTTATGGGAAAGAGATTATGTAAAGAGCAAAGCCCTGGAGAGGGGCAGAAGCCATTAGATGTTCCTTATGCTCAAGCAATTGGAAGCTTGATGTATGCAATGTTGTGCACCAGACCTGATATAGCTTATGCTGTGAGTCTAGTCAGTAGATATCAAAGTAATCCAGGACCAGCACATTGGGAAGCTGTTAAAAGGATTATGAAGTATATCAGATGTACATTGACTCATAGATTAGTTTATCATGCTGATTCGCTTGAACTCCTCGGTTATTCCGATGCTGATTTCGGAGGTGATAAAGATGATGGAAAGTCCATTTCGGGACATTTATCTTTGGAGGAGGAGCTGTTTCTTGGAGTAGCAAGAAACAAGGGTGTGTTGCTAGATATACGCAAGAAGCTGAATATATAGCTCGTAGTATGGCAAATACACATGCTGTCTGGATAAGACGGTTTTTGATTGATCTTGATCTCAATTTGTTAGAAGGACCTATTGATATTTATTGTGATAATCAAGCAGCAATTAGCTTAATCAATAGTGGTGCGAATAGCTCCAAAGGAAAACATATTGAGATCCAGTATCACTATATTCGAGATATTGTAGAAAAGGGAGAAGTCAAAGTGACTTATATCCCTACTACAGATATGATTGCTGATCCTTTGACAAAAGGAATACCAGCGGAATCTTTTATCAAACATGTAAGTTTGATGTGACTTAGGAATAAATAAGTCCAAGTAAAATAAGAGTTACTCTCTACGTATAGTGAGAGTAATGGTAAGCAGAAACATCTGATCTTACGGATAGTGGGAGGCATATCACTTGGTTGATTTGGTCAAGTGGGAGATGTTAGCTTGACTCGGTCATGGATGACCAAATCAACAACGGTTTCTCAGTTGAGAGAATCGTGGAGAACGTGAATTGGGGTTTGTTGAGAGATTTTCTCTCAGAGGCAGTTTGAGGGGGGTGGAGATGATAAGATTTCGGCCTATAAATATAGAAGTAATCTCCTTGAGAAAATACAACGAAAAAGAAAAATCAAGCCCTTTACCCATTACAGATTTCATTAGGAGATATTAGGAGGGATCCATGAGGAGAGGATCCCAATCTGGCGGAGCCCCACACACACAGATATGATAAGGCAGCGTGTTTCGCACGTGCTTTTTTTTCCCGGCTAAGATTTGTGCTCAGTCGCGAACCAACGAAACCAGTGACGTGACGTCACCCTTCTCCTGCCTATAAAATACCCTCATCTTCTCCCATCTCATCAGCCGACCACAATGGTCCGAGTTCTCACCGTCGACCAAGTCACCCCTGAAGCCTCCTCCTCTCTTTATGCTGCTACGCGGGACACCGTACCGCTGTCCCTGTTTGACGCCTACTGGATCACGCCTCCGCCGATCCAACGCCTCTTCCTCTTCCCCAAAACCTTATCCCCTTCTCCTCCATCACCAACTCCCTAAAATCCTCCCTTTCAAACCCTAACTAAGTCCCTTGCTCGCTGGGAAGCTCACCTACCTCCCTCCACCGATGAAGTCATCGTCGACCTCAGACAAGCCACCGGCGTCGAATTCATCGAGGCCGAGTCCGACGCCGACGTAAACAAGCTGGCCGTGATCCGGTCCACGATACCGAGGCCTTTATCAGTCTCTGCCGGACATTGACACGAGGTCGATGCGATGCTGTGATGGCGGTGATGGCGACGGTGTTCTCCGGCGCGGAGTGGCGTCGCGGGTGACGGTTCACCACGCGGTGGCGGATGGGAAAGGGGTGTTGGATGTTTATGGATATGTGGGCCGCCTCTTGTAGAGGAGAGGACGCGGTGAGCTTGCCGGTGCATGATCGGGCGGTGATCGTACACGAGGGAGGTGAGGAGATCGCGAGACGGTTCGTGAAGGCGTTGGCACCGGAGATTCCCAAGGTAATTAAGATGGCTACGTCGATATATTTATTATTTTATTTTTTTCTCTTCTTAATTTGTACTGGGCCCACATCATGAGGCTTTCATTCCATAGTCTAACAACATGGCGTTATTATTAGTGGTCATGGCAAAATGGATCCAAAACCAATTACCCACTCATATCCATCCGCTAAATGAACCATTCAAACCCATCCATTTAGTTAAATGGACTATAAATATGTGGCTGTAGTTTTTATTAAAGATAAATGAGTCATTAATGGGCAGGTACCCACCTATTTACCCGTTTAGATGGATATTGTTTTAAAACACCCCCGACGCTTCAACAATTACAAAACTTATTTTTAAAAGTTAAAAATTATAGAAAACACTTAAAATGACTAACAACCCCTTAAAATTTTGAGATTTGTAAAAAATACCCTCAAAATTTAAAATATTATAAAAACGCCCTCAAGAGTTAAAAATTATAAAAAAAACTATCAAAATTTTCTAACCTAAAACGCCCTCAAGAGTTAAAAATTATAAAAAAAACTATCAAAATTTTCTAACCTCACAGATGACACATAAAATTCAAAAATTACCAACAGCCCCCTGAAATTTTATAATTTACAAAAAATACCCTTAAAAGTTGTAAAAAATAAGAAAAACACCCTCAAGACTTTAAAATTACCAAACAATCTTAGAGTTTTCTAAACTTGCAAATGACATATGAAATCTAAAAAAATTCGATAGTCCCCTATAAATTTAAAATTTACAATTAACACCCTCAAAGTTTTAAATTTTTAGAAAAATACCCTCTATAGTTTAGAATTACAAAACCATCCTGAAATTTCAAAACCTATAAATGACACATGAAATCCAAAAATTACTAGCAGCCCCTGTAGATTTATAATTTACAAAAAGCAACCTCAAAGTTTAAAAATTACAAAAAACACCCTCAAGAGTTCAAAACTACAAAACAATCTTAGAATTTTCTAAACTTACAAATGACACATGAAATCTAAAAAAATTTGGCAGTCCCCTATAAATATCAAATTTGCATGTAACACCCTTAAACTTTTAAAAATTATAAAAAACACCCTCAAGGATATATAAATATAAAAAGTAGGCGCTCACAATTCTTTGGTTAGGTACTTATATGCGTATGCGGCCAAGTGTAATTTGCAAAACTTGCGTCTATTGCGCGAGAAATAGGAGAGAAAGAGAGCGTGTATTATTATCCGGCGTGATAAAAAAAATTCAAGGAGAATCACTTGGGGACACTCTGTAATTAAGAACAAACATGGAAAAAATAATAGACTTTAACCAACAACAAATATGAAGAAATGAACAATTACGCTCATAGCTCATGGATTTTGAACAAATGAAAAAAAAACACCATCTCTCTCAAAGCAGTTCACGCAAGGCTAAGGAGGTGCAGGATTTTTAAGATCCTCGGAGTGGGACGTGATATTTTTACCGTATTTAATTTGTTGTCAAATTTAGACGGCAAAAAGATTTAGTTAGGATTTTTTTATGGAATGTGTGGTGCGTGGGTTTTTAGAGCCAAATTTAGTTAGGATGTTTTTATCAAATAGAGCTGTTAGGTAGCGTGGTTTTGTAAACCGTGCAAGGTGGGGTTTTCTGAAGATATTTTGTCATTTCTTTGTTCTGTCCTAATTTGACCCTAAGATGATGAAGAGCTGAATTAAATGTTAAGGGTACTCCGGTATTCTAAAAAATTTGACACATGACCAAAGTAATGGCTTTTTTTAAATAACCGAGCAGGCAGTAAACTAGACTTATTACGAGTTCATCTCTTCTTTTACTCAGCCCTGTCATCATTTTCTTCTTTTGCTCACAATTTTGTCCTAATTTTTTCCAAATAGTCGATTCAATTGAGAAAGAAATGTTTACAGAAAACCCCCTGAAAGTTTGTAGAAAACCCCCTAAAAGTTTACAAAAAATCCCTAAAAGTTTACAGGAAAACCCCCTGAAAGTTTACAAAAATAACCCTAAAAGTTTACATAAAACCCCTAAAAATTTGTAGAAAACCCCCTGAAAGTTTGTAGAAAAACCCCTAAAAGTTTACAGAAACCCCCCTGAAAGTTTACAAAAAAACCCCTGAAAATTTACAGAAATCCCCTAAAAGTTTACATAAAATCCCTAAAAGTTTGTAGAAAACCCCCTGAAAGTTTGCAGAAAAACCCCTGAAAGTTTACAAAAAATCTCCTGAATATTTGCAGAAAACCCCCTGAAAGTTTATAGAAAACCCCCTAAATGTTTATAGAAACCCCCCAGAAAGTTCACAGAAAACTCCCTAAAAGTTTATAAAAAACCCCTGAAAGTTTGCAAAAAACCCCCTAAAAGTTTACAGAAAACCCCCTAAAAGTTTTGCAGAAAACCCCCTAAAAATTTGCAAAAAAACCCCTAAAAGTTTGCAGAAAATCCCCTAAAAGTTTACAAAAAAATCCCTAAAAGTTTGCAGAACCCCCCCAAAAAGTTCACAAAAAACCCCCTAAAATTTTGTAAAAAACCACCTAAAAATTTGCAAAAAAACCCCTGAAAGTTTGCAAAAAACCCTGAAAGTTTACAGAAAACCCCCTGAAAGTTTACAGAAAACCCCCTAAAAGTTTGCAGAAAACTCCTCTGAAAGTTTGCCAAAAACCCCTAAAAGTTTGCAAGTAGATCCCTGAAACTTACATATATATAGAAGCATCATAGTCATAACTAAATAGGTTATTGGGTCACCTATGAACCATCCATTTAGTAAATGGGTGGTTGAGAAGTGAGTCAAGTGACTCATTTATCAAATGCTAAATGGGTCATAAATGGTCAAGTGGTTATAAATGTGCCCACACATTTATGACCTAACCAAGATCCAACCAAAACCACCTATTTAACATCGACAGCGGATGAGATGGGGCTCGCCGATCACCATCGCCGAAGAGTTATGACGTACTTGATTTCTCCTTCACTTGAAACAAGTCTGAGCACGAACACCTTTTTCAGTATTATTAATATATAGCTTTTGCGTGTCGCAAGCTGCACACGTAGACATACTAGTTAATCTTTTTATTACAATTTTTTTCAGATTAATTAGCATTCTCTTATATGTGCTTTATCCCACATGATATAATCATTCATAAGTTTTGTATTATGTAATACGTATATCTCAATTCTTAAACTGTAAGAAGATCTATAAATTAATCTATTAAATTTTTATTAAGAATTATTCTTTTTTATATTAAGCTTATGATTGATTAGTCCATTGTGTTGGGAATTATCAAATAAATAAAGATTATAGCATGAATTTAAACCCGGAAATTAAATAAATAATACATCAAATATAGATAATATAAATTAGAGAAACAGGCCTGACGGGAGCAGTCGTGTAAACACTGCCCTAGAAGATTGAGGACCCGCCTATCGCCCTGGCGCAGATGATCCCTTCTCCCCTAGCGGTAAAAACCCCCGGAAACGGCCCGGCCTCTGCACTCGGGCGAGAGTGCAGAGCTTCAGCTCAGATGAAGAAGTTGTCCATAAAGTAAAACTAAAGTATAGATGAAAATAATATGTAGAGGAGAAAAGAAAACAAGATAAGTTTTCCATATTTTTCTTCATTTTTCTTGAGCTCAACATATGTTGTTTATATAGGGGTTGAAAAGAGCCGTTACAAAATCCCTCAATAAATTTCGTAACGTTCGTCATAATGTATAGTCATTATGCCCATTTTAATTACAAATTAAAACACATTAAAACATATTTTAATTACAAAAATTTATTAGAATTCATTAAGGCAAATTTCCTTTTCTTTAAAAATATCCAAACACAAACTCCATATTTAGCCAATGCCACTTAACCTTACCTCTACAAATATTTCTGTTTTTCTGTTGATCAACGCTAAATAGTTGCTAATATTAGAGAAACATAGAAATACAGTTTTTCCTTTCTAATAAAGGCGTATATTCGGTTAACAGATCTCTCAACAGCTATCTCGATAACTGGACAACCGATTCCTTTCATCTTAATCTTCAATATAAATTCTAATCCTCTCATTCTTTCTTTTTCAATTCCATATCAAATTTATTCCAGCTTTCTTCTTCTTTTGTTGAGCAGAAGCTAGCAGTCTTCGTGCTCAAATGGCTCAAGCCTCAGAGATGAACAATAGCGTGTTGAATTCGACAACTCCTAGTGTAGAGCTAGAGTGTTTCTCCCCTTATATGATCATCACCAATGGAATATGGCTTGACGACGATCCTCTAAGATACTCTCTCCCTCTTTTCCTTATCCAACTCCTTATAATAACGCTGACCAGTCGCACTCTTAATGCTATCTTGAAACCCTTTGGCCAGCCTATGGTCCTCGCTGAGATCCTAGTATGTTGATGCAAACAAGTATCATATTTTTCTTATTTCAATATTAAATTTTGATAGATGATGATTTTTGACATTTACAAATGCAGGCAGGGATGCTGCTGGGACCATCTTTTGTGGGAAAATTCTTTCAAGGATTTCAGGCTCATTTCTTTCCACCAAGAAGCATCAGCATACTGTCGTCGATGGGTAACTGTGGCCTACTTTGCTTTGTGTTCATGGTTGGAGTTGAGATGGACATAAATGTGCTAAGGCAAATGAAGAAGAAAGTAATGGCTATCGGAGCGATTAGCATTGTGCTTCCTTTTGCGATCACCTTGACTGCTGCCTACCTCTTTCGCGGCTATTTCCTTGAAGAAAAAAAGAACAATGCCTTTTATGTCTATCTCGCTCTGGCTCTATCAATCACTACATTTCCTGTGCTCGCTCGAGTCCTTAGAGATCTCAAGCTTCTGAACACAGAGGTCGGTCGAGTTTCCATATTGTCCTCTGTCGTCAACGATCTGTTCTCTTGGGTGTTGCTTGCCCTTGTCGCTGTACTCTCAGGAACTATGAGAGCCGATAAAGGGATGGACGGCCTACCATTCCTCTACATCTTGCTGTCGAGCCTGGGCTTCTTTATCATCTGCGAAGATTTGAAATATAATCCACCATATAAAATAGAATTTTAAAAAATGCACCTCTTTGATTTGGTTCGCTCATATATTGATCATTTATCATTAGGCAATATATGATGCAAGAAGCGTAATTAAATAAATGCATATGAATTTTTCTCATAATTCCGATTCCTCTTATTCCAAACCAAAACTCCTAAAGCGAAAAGATTAAAGTTTTACCCGGGTAGTTAGCCAGGTAAGGATAGTAATAGAGGCTGATCAAAGATCAATTAAGTACCCCGTTCAAAGATCAATTAAGTACCTTGTTCCTTGCAGAGCGCATTACGTAACCCTTAAACCTTGCCTTAGACACCAACTAATCCAAGAAAACTTGAATCGGTTCACTCAATGAGTTTTTGTTCCTTAACAGTATATAGAAACTTTAAATTATTTCCTGCAATCATTTAAATTGCCTAGCAATTATACTGCAAACATATGTTGGATAAGGCCGAGGAGGGGTTTACCTATTGATGTTCGAACCTCATGATTTTCATGTCTTGAGAGTAAAAACATATCTGCTGCAGACAACTGCCACAGAAGTTGCTGAACAAATTTGCATTCACTTTTACCACCTTCTGTACTAAGCTTATTAGATGCATAAATACACTAATGTATGAAATTATTAATAGAAGGCATCATATTATTGATAGCTTAAAGAAATAAAAGTATTAAACCATGAACAAATCCAGATATTTCAAAGCATCTATTTTGTTTTCTTTATTCTTGTCAAAACCATGCATATGAGACTTTTAAACAAAAAAAAAAATTAAAAGCTCAAATTATTTATTGGTGATCATCAACGTTCAAATACAGAGCATATTCACTAGCACAAGGGAATAAGGGTAGGCTTTAGATGATTCTAACAAATATAAACTAGGCTTTTAGAAACCAATAAAGGTTCTTTGATATTCGTAACTTACAATAATTATTGATTATAAATCAACTATAAGACAAATGTAATTAACTGTTAAATTAAATTAACAGAAATATTTAGCTACAATTTTTTAATTATTAATTTTTTTTTTAAAAAAAATAACCAAAACTGTTTACATGAACAGTAACTTTTTAAATAAAATGAACAGTGCCGTTTTCAAAATAAATGAACAGTAACATCATTTTTAAAATTAAACAGTAACGTCATTTTTTAAGAATGAACAGTAACGACATTTTTATAAATGAGCATTAACATTCTTAAAAATAAATAAATAGTAACGGTTACATTTTTTTTTAAATTTTTTTTTAACAGTAACCAATTTTTTTTAACAAAAAATTAATTAATAGATAAGCAATTTAGTAGCAATAATTTTTTTTTAAATTCGGATGAACAGTAACCATCTCGAATAAACAGTACTTTAAAAATTATTTTTCCGGATTTAAATCAAAAGCTATAAACATATCAATCTTCTAGATTGTTGGGAATTATCAAATAAATAAAGATTATAGCATGAATTTAAACCCGGAAATTAAATAAATAATACATCAAATATAGATAATATAAATTAGAGAAACAGGCCTGACGGGAGCAGTCGTGTAAACACTGCCCTAGAAGATTGAGGACCCGCCTATCGCCCTGGCGCAGATGATCCCTTCTCCCCTAGCGGTAAAATCCCCCGGAAACGGCCCGGCCTCTGCACTCGGGCGAGAGTGCAGAGCTTCAGCTCAGATGAAGAAGTTGCCCATAAAGTAAAACTAAAGTATAGATGAAAATGATATGTAGAGGAGAAAAGAAAACAAGATAAGTTTTCCACATTTTTCTTCATTTTTCTTGAGCTCAACATATGTTGTTTATATAGGGGTTGAAAAGAGCCGTTACAAAATCCCTCAATAAATTTCGTAACGTTCGTCATAATGTATAGTCATTATGCCCATTTTAATTACAAATTAAAACACATTAAAACATATTTTAATTACAAAAATTTATTAGAATTCATTAAGGCAAATTTCCTTTTCTTTAAAAATATCCAACACATTGTTCTTTAAATCCACATCCACATGTCAACATTGTCTTCAACACGTTTTATAGAAAAAGAAAATTTTATAGCAATTCTTTTTAGAGTCTAAATTGTTGATTCATTCTCATGGTTTTAACTTTGTCTATATCTGAGACAGACTATTTTATTAAATTTTGATTAAGAATTATTCGATATATTTTATTTTAAACTTATGATTAGTCCATTGTTTTTTATATTCGAATCTCAATATGGTCTTCAATAAGTTTTTGAAAAAGAAATTTTTATAGCAATTCGATATAGATACTAAATTGTTGATTCCTTCTCATAGTTTTGAGTTTAACGCTTACTATATCTACAAATTAGTTGAAACTTGACATAACTTAGAGTTCAAGTTAATCTCGCAAAACTCCCCGGGTTCATGCATGTTTTGTGAAATTAACCATTTAAAAGTTCTAGGGCGAGCCAAAATTTAAATTTTAAAGGCATTCTTGCTATTTATTGTTAAATATGGCCATCTATAAAATTTCAGTTAAAGAAAGTCACGTTGATAAGAAAAAATGTATGCACATAAAAATTACTACTTAGTGACTGCCATTATTCCTAATGAATAACATAAAAACTTTCAAGTTTATGTAAGTACAAAATCCACAAATTAACACGAACCAAATGACTAAACTCAAAACTACTACAAGTACATAAGTAGATAATTAACATTCAAACAATTTCTACGTGTACTATAGATCAAATAGTTTTCATCTCCAAGAAGGATACTTAAGCACATATCTTCTCCACTCCTCCGACTCTTTCTCTTCATCACATTCTTCACCGCCTGTGCAAACTCCTCCACCTTCACTACTTAATTTCTTTCCTTCTCTCTCAACTATTACGCTATTCGCCAACACCTCTTCTACCAGTTTTTGATTCAAAAATTAATCGTACTCGATCATGTAGGTTTGTCTTCTTTCTTCATTATCTATATTTTGATTAAGGATTGAAACTTCGGTTGGAGAAATTTGATAAGATTTTATTGTCAGTTATAGTGATTTTATGGAGAGGGGAATAGTTGTAATGTTTTTCAGTATGAGTGTGAAAAAATGTTATGTTTAGGATCAAGAGTTATTGGAGAGGGATTATGAGAGGATGTTTAATTGAAAATTTGATGGTAATCAATTGGGAGGTTATGAAAAAATGAGCACGTTTGTGTCTTCGTGTATGTATGAATGGATGTATGATTAATGGGGATGTAATAAAAAATTGAGTATACATGTATTTTCATGTATGTATAGTTCGATGTATTTTAGGGCATTTTGTGAAGAAATTTTTTTAACACATCAACCCACCTTTATAATGATATTAGATTTCTCGTAGTTTTCGAGTTTTATTATAAAAAAAAAGTAACTTTTTGTCTTCATGCCACAGATGCCGGCTCATCCTCTCCCTATAGAGCACCGCCTCCGTCTCCAACGTCGAACCTTCATCCTCTCGTCCTCCGCCGTCCAATCCCTCAAAGACCGCATCCTCTCCCAATCCAATGGCTCACATTCTCCCTCCACATTCACCGCCATCTCAGCCCACGCATGGGTCTCCATCGCCAAAACCATTGCTTCTGCCGCTGTTGACGTCACCAACCTCATCTTCCTTGCCGACTGTCGTTCCCGCCTTAACCCTCCCCTCCCCGACTCCTATGCTGGCAACTGCGTGGGCCCCTGCTACGCCACCGCCATGTGGCACGCCCTTCTGGGCCCTCAAGGGCTCTTGCTCGCGCAGGCGGAGGTCGCACGTGCTGTACAAGAGCGGGCGAAGGACCCATTGAGGGGGTGCGAGAATTGGGTAGAGGAGTTCATGGGGGTAGCGGAGTCGGGTCGGGTGGTTGTTTCTGGTTCACCTAGGTTTAGGGTTTATGAGACGGATTTCGGGTGGGGGGAGTTGGGTCGGGTTGAGTTGGTCTCCATGAATAAGGATATGGAGGTAGTGTTGGTGGGAGGGAGGGAGCCAGGCTCGGTTCAGGTGTCGATTGTATTGGACCCGGGTCAGATGCGTTTGTTTGCTGAGGTGTTTTTGGATGGACTGGAGGTTTAAAATGCAATATGGGGAAATTGTTTATGGAGCCACGGAGCAGATGTTTACCTATCCGCTGATTGACTAGTCGTATTGATGACTTGGTTCGTATCTAGACTGCCAGCTATCTTTGAAATGTGTTGATTATTAATTCTTTGGACCGCAGTTATTTGGCTTTTTTCCCCCGCATTGAACACGCCGGTCAATTGCAGAAGGGTCACATCAATTTATATTCTCTTTTTTATGGTTTTTTTTTTTAGGTAAGAAAAGCTGGAGCAAATAAATTTTGAGATGCATTACTTTTTATTCTGGCAACCGTGATTTGAATTTGTCAGCATGTAATAGATCGAGGAGGCAAAAATCTAAATTGAAATGTTTTTGGTATGTTTATTGTTAGCTTGACTTGGTCATTGATGACCAGATCAACCACTGTTTCTCTGTTGAGAGAATGGTGGAGAACATGAATCATGGGTGGTTGAGAGAAAATCTCTCATGGGGGCGGATCTGAGGGGTAGAGATGATGGGTTTAGCCCCTATATAAGGAGGACCATTCTCCTTGAGAAAAAACAAAGAAAGCAAAAGCAAAACCACTTACCCATTACCGGAGCCCCTCAGAAATATCAGTTCTTCCTCCTCTTTGCTTCTCAGAGTCCAATCACTGGTATCAGAGCTGAAGGTTCTTCATCATCTCTTATTCTGCTATTTTCCCAACAAAGAAGCCCTCTCTGTTGAAGAAGAAAGTTCAGTTGAAGAAGAAGAACCAGCAACAACATTCTTGAAGAAGAAAAGTAAGCCTACCCAATATCCTTCGGTTAAAAGACAGCCTACTCAAAGTTAATCTAGTCTACGCTCTGTTGTTTCAAAACTGTTGTTCATAGCCTACTCCCTTTTATTTTTCGGTCCTACTCTTTGTTCATAGCCTAGCCACAGGCCTACACCTACAAGCCTAACCTACACCCACATGTCTACATCCAACTAGCAGGTCTTATTGTTTTCGTCCTACTTATAGTCTATATCCCCATTGCTTACTGGTCCTAGAATCAACATCCCTATTGTTCACTGGTCCTACAAATGTCCTATTAACACATCTTCAAGGCTCTCTCCCATCAAAGCACGTGAGCTCAAAGCATACATCTGCATTAACATAAATTGGGCCTTCTTGTTGGGCCTTGAGTATGTGCTTGTTTGCTGGCCCGGCTGTTCCAACTTGATCATCTCCAATTCAGTCAGAAACGACGACAAAACTTCGACAAGTGCTGATCCAATCTACACCGCTGAGTGACAATCTCGCTCAGTTTCTCAACTCACAAAAATCAGGTTCATTTTAATTAATTTATTTATTTATCTAACTTTATTTTAGTATAATTGTCAAAATATCAACCTTACACATATTTTAAAATTAATTTTAGTTTTAGTTCTCTACCGAATGGCTAGTAAACTCGTTCTATCAGAACTAGGCAAAATTGACAAATTTAATGGCAGTAATTATGATATGTGGCATAGAAAAATAGGATATGCTCTTATTCAAGACAACATTAATGATATAATCGAAACCACTGCTCCAACCCTTACTGATAAATCTACACCTGAAGAAAAGAAATGGTTTGAACAGTGGAAGTCGAAAGATAAAAAGGCGAAAAGTCTTATGCTCATGTTCATGGAAGATAACTTAATCAAAGTTTTTGAAACTTATAAGACTTCCATGGACATGTGGAATGCAATAAAAGAAAAATACGACACTGCTTCTGAAGTTAACATTCAACTCCTCTTGCATAAGTATAATTCTTGTCGTATGCAAGAGGGAGACAATGCCGTAGAGCATATAAATAAAACGATTGTCATGGCTAAGGACTTATCCACTGCTGGGACCGAAATCCCGGAAAGAATGCAAGTGACAACCATTTTGAATAGTTTTTCCCCTTCACTTGCAGTGGCTGCCACCACATTAAAAATGAATCTTGCCATTAAGTCTGTCACTGATCTTCCTATGCACCTAGCGATAGAAGAGGACTTAATAGCTAGTAGGAAGGAACCAGAACTGAATATGGTGCAGCAAGAGCTGAATTATGTCCACCAGATGTATAATGCTGGAAGCTATAAAAACCCTGGTTCTAGTAAACCACAACCACGAGGATCGAAATCACAGCAGTTCAAGAGAAAGAAAGTACCCCGTGGAGCCTGCTATAATTGTGGAAAGTTCGGGCATTTCAAACCCAATTGCCCACAATGTGAAAAGCAGGAGAATAAGGGAGGCTATAAGCATCCAGAACAAGGGGGCACTAGCAAAAGAGAATTCGTCGGTGTGACGGAATGTAATGTTATGATGACGGATATCAGTGGTTGGTGGATCGACTCCGGTGCGACTAGGCATATCGCAAAGGACAAGAATGGAGTCGTAGAATTCACCGAGCTGAAGAAAGGAGAACAGAGAATCTATATGGGAAATAATACCTATCTCGATGTAGAAGGTATTGGTTCGTATAGATTGGATCTTGGGGACAATATTCTTGTCCTCAAAGATGTGTTCTATGCGCCAGGAATTAGACGCAATCTGATATATGTTCCCAGCTTGATGAAGAAAGGACTGGAAGTGAGGTTCTATAATAACAGGGTTTCTATAGGCAAGAATAATAAAGTGCATGCTATGGGTAAATATATGCCCGAGCATGAATTATACATTCTTCCAGTAGTTTGTAATAATTCTGATAATAAAATTTTGAATTTGAACTACTTATCTTGTTATATTTCTGAATCTGAATTGTGGCATTCTAGACTAGGACATGCTAGTATTTTAAAAATAAAAGAAATTATCAGAATGAACTTGCTTCCTGCACTATCTAATGTTCAATTGCCACCATGTGAACATTGTTTAACTAGTAAAATGACTAGAAAACCTTTTATTGGTGGACACAGAGCCAATGAACTTTTAGGGTTGATACACTCGGATATTTGTGGTCCCCTAAGTGTCAAAACTCATAGTAATAAAGAATATTTTATTACTTTTATAGATGATTATTCTAAGTTTGCACACGTCTATCTTATATCCAGAAAATTAGAAGCTTTTGACTGCTTTAAGAGATATAAGACAGAAGTTGAAAACCAACTTGGATTGAAAATCAAAATTCTGAGAACTGATGGAGGTGGAGAATATAATTCTAAAGAATTTGAAAGTTATTGTATTCTGCATGGAATTAAAAGGCATACAACAATGTCGTATACGCCACAACAGAATGGTGTTGCTGAAAGAAAGAACAGAACATTATTAAATGTAGTTAGGTGCATGTTGTCTCACTCTGGTCTCTCTAAAAACTTTTGGGGAGAAGCATTATTAACTGTGTAGGCATCGAAAATTACCTATAGGTCTCCGTGAGCAGCTCAAAGCTAAGAGGAGATGAGGAACGTCACTATCCAAGTCACAGAATCTTGATTGACGTTGAGGAACGCTTGAAGTGAATCGACGAATTACGTAAAGTAACGGAATTTCAGAATAACGAAGACACGAACTGGTCGGGAGTCCCGCGTCACTTACAAAAGACGAAACGACGCTCCTGTCCCAGCTTGATCCACAATGATCTAATCATCAGAGCTTATAGAACTCCTCATCAGCTTTCCAACGCACTTTGAATCACTCAAATCTGAGTTCGGACGAAGAAATTACGGCGGAAACGGACAAGTACATGGAAAAGAACGTCTCAGCCTGAGTTGAGACACCCCGAGGTGTCTCGGCACAAGCGAGACACCCTAAGGTGTCTCGGCACAAGCGAGACACCCCAAGGTGTCTCGGCCGAGGCCGAGACACCCTAGGGTGTCTCTGAGACACCCAGGTGTGTCTCCAGGCCTAAAATTGAGCTGTTATACTGTTTCAACCACCTGAACTCCCCCGAGCCTATAAATACAAACCTTAGGCCTTTATTTTTCTAGATCTGGAATTTTAGAGATTAGGCGAAGCCCTGCCGGATTAAAGACTGAAGGTGCACGAATTTCAGAGAGGAGGAGGAGAGATCGGATCGAGTTCGTCGGCATAAAGAAGAGGAGCTCGTCAGATCTGCAGTTCCCCGGGTCTGTTCCTTAAGATTATCCCGTTGCAATAATCTTAAGAAGAGCAATTATCTCGCTGTTGCCGAGATAAGCGCTATGGCTTCTTGATTCCTTCACGAATCGACGAAGCTCTGCCCGATTTTTTAGTAATCAGATCTGATCGACGGTGGTCCATGGATATCAACATCCCCGTCACAGGCCAAGATCCCATGCAAGCAGAAGACCGATAAACGATCTCTACGCTGTTTGAAGAGAATTGTATTTTTTTGTTTTCATTGTGTAAAGGTCTTATAAAAAGACTAATTTTTGTTTTCGTTGTAAACGTCTGAAGTTTGTAATGAATCCCGCAATGAATCAAACAATTTTCTCCGCAAACAAGCTGGCGACCACAGTGGGAGTAGAGCCGCTCAATACCTGGATCCCGTCACGGAGGAATTCGTCTTGCAAACCTATCATAACAACTTGTCCATTAACATCTTGGACGTTATGGGAGTAGAGCCGCTCAATACCTGGAAAGAGTTGAAGGTGCGCGGAGAGCAGGCCGAACGCTTCCTCAGAAGGAGGAAGGTCGAAAGAAGCCAACCGATGGCTAACCCTCTGAATCCGAGTCTCATTTCCCATGATGAAGGGAAGGCACCTACAACAGTTGTTGACGTTAATCAGACGTCGCAACAGCAACCCCGAAGACAGCAGAAGACTTTGGATCCGAGACTCCAAAAAGAGTACTCATTCAAGGACGAAGACGTTCCAGCCATCTTCGAGACCCTTCTCGAAAACAATAAGATCAAGCTGCCACCCATCACGAATCAGGAAGAAGCTGACAATACTACGGATCCGAAGTACTGCGCGTATCACAGAAGGATCCTTCATCCCACCAAGGCTTGCTTTACTTTAAAGAATAGCATCCAAACCTTGGTTGAAGCCGGCGTCATAACGTTAGGATAAGCCAAACTAGAACGGCAACACTCCGAAGAGTATATGAGTATAAACTGCTTCTCAACACTCCGACAAGTATATGAGTATAAACTGCTTCTTAATACCCCAATAGGTATATGAGTCTAAACTATTCTCACTCTTGACGGGAAGTTCCTGGAGAATTTTTACATGTAATAATAGGTATATGAGTCTAAACTATTCTCACTCTTGACGGGAAGTTCCTGGAGAATTTTTACATGTAATATTCTTAAGGATAACCCGATCATGCAACTGAATACAATGGTA